ATACTGATGAGTCTACACTGACACATCATAATCACCTAAAGTCCCATTTTAGGGTTCAGCCTTGTACATTCTGTGGATTTGGGCAAATGTATAATGATGTATTCATCATTATGGTATCATACAAAGTGTTTTCACTGCCCTAAAAATCCTCTGTGCTCCAGCTGTTTTCCCTCTTCCCTTTCACCCAGTCTTGCTAACCAGTGATCTTTTTACTTTCTCCATAGCTTTGCCTTTTCCAGAATGTCTTCTAGTTGGAATCATACAGTATGTACCCTTTCCAGATTGGGTTCTTTTACTTAGTAATATGCATTTAAGTTTCCTCCATATCTTTTCATGGCCTGACAACTCTTTCCTCTTAGCATGGAATAATATCCATTGTCTAGGTGTCCACAGTTTATTTATCCTCAGGACATCTTGGCTGCCTCCAATTTTGAGCAGTTATGAATAGGCTACTATAAACATCCATGTACAGGTTTTTATGTAGACAAAAGCTTTTTTTAACTCTTCTGAGTATCATAAAGTTTTATTGCTAGATTATAAGGTAAGAGTATGTTAGGTTTTTTAAGAAACCATCAAACTGCCTTCAAAGTGGCTGTACTATTTTGCATTCCCACCAGCAATGGATGAGAGTCCCTATTGCTCCTTGTCCTTATTAGCCTTTGGTGTTACTAGTGTTCTGGATTTGGGCCATTCTGATAGGTATATGGTGGTATTTCATTGTTTTAATTTGCATTTTCCTGATGACATATGATGTAGAGCTTCTTTCATATGCTTATTTGCTGTCTGCTTATATCTTCTTTTGTTGTTGCTTAAAGATTTTTGTTTTTAAGTAATATCCATACCCAATGTGGGCCTCCAATTTAAAATCCCAAGATCAGGAGTCTCATGCTCTACTGACTGAGCCACCCAGGCACTGTCTTCTTTAGTGAGGTGTCTTTTAAGGTTTTTGGCCCATTTTAAAAATTAAGTTATTTTCTTATTGTTGATTTTTAAGAGTTCTTTGTATATTTTAGATAATAATCCTTTATTAGATCTATCTTTTGCAAATATTTTACAAATATTTCCTCCCAGTCTGTGGCTTGTCTTCTAATTCTCTTAGCAATGTGTTTTGCAGAACAGAAGTATTTTTTTAATTTTAATGAGGTTCAGTTTATCAGATGTTTCTTTCATGAATTGTGCCTTTGATTTTATTTCTAAAAAGCTATCACCATATCCAAAGCCATGTAGGTTTTTATCCTACGTTATCTTCTAGGAATGTCATAGTATTGTACTTTACATTGAGGTCTGTGGTCCATTTAGAGTTAATTTTTACTAAATATGTAAGGTATGCATCTACATTAATTTTTTGCATGTTAATGTTTAGTTCTTCTAGTGCCGTTTGTTGAGGGATCTTTGTACATTGTATTGCCTTTGTTTTTTTGTCAGAGATCAGTTGACTATATTTATGAAGGTCTGTTTCGGGGCACACTAATCTGATACATTGATCTATTTGTCTCTTCTTTCTTTTTTTTTAAGATTTTATTTTTATTTTTATTATTTTATTTATTTTTTTAAATTTACATCCAAATTAGCATAAGTGCAATAATGATTTCAGGAGTGGAATCCAGTGATTTATCCCCTATAGTAACACCCAGTGCTCACCCCAACAAGTGTCCTTAATGCCCCTTACCCATTTAGCCCACCCCCCAAAAAAACCCCTCCAGCAACCCTCTGCTTGTTCTCTGTATTTAATAGTCTCTTACGGTTTGTCCCCCTCCCTGCTTTTATATTATTTTTGCTTTCCTTCCCTTATGTTCTCTGTTTTGTATCTTAAATTCCACATATGAGTGAAGTCATATGATACTTGTCTCTTCTTCACCAGTAACACACTGTTTTGATTATTGTAGCTTTATAGTAAGTCTTGAAGTCAGGTAGCATCAGTCCTCCAATTCTGTTCTTTTCCTTCAATATTATGTTGGCTATTCTGTTTTTTTTTTTTTCCTTTCCTCCTAAATTTTAGAATCAGTTTATTGACATCCATAAAATAAGTTGCTAGGATTTTGATTGGGATTGCATTAAATCTATAGATCAAGTTGAGAAGAACTGACAGCTTGACAATATTAAATTTTCCTGTCCATGAACATGGAATGTTTCTCCATTATTTAGTTCTTATTTTACTTCTTTCATCAAATTTTTATAGTTTTCCTCGAGAAGATCTTATACATAACTGGTTAGATTTATACCCAAGTATTTTATTTTGAGGGGGCGCCAATGTGAATGATATTGTTGGAAGCATGTTTGTAACTTTATTCATAATAGCTAAAAGCTAGAAACAAAAAAAATCATGAGTTATAAAGTTATTAGGTTTCTTCATCACAGGTCATGTGAGAAATAAAATATTATATCAGAATAATTAATAGTTAATTTTTTCTGAAATTCCTATCAGTTAATGAAAATGGGGTACAGGAATTATATTATTTAATAATGGGAAACAGCTTCTTTGGGTGCTAAATGAAAAGTAGTATGCCACATTATCCTAATATGCCTATTATTTGCATAGTTAACATTGTTTTCTACAGTAGTTTTCATTACAGATGAAAAACTGTAATTCTTGTGATCTTCCTTCAAGGGAAACAAAAATAAAAACAAAACTATAGTATAATATTACAATCAACTACTAAAGTAATAGGTGGCTCTATCTTTTATCTTTATCACCAGACATTTCTGGTGATTCTAACTTGCTAGCAAGGGGGAAAGAGCTGTGTGTTCCCAAAATATTTTCTTCAAAGTAATGGCCCTATCAAATATTCTGCAAAAAAAAAAAACATTTCCTGATCAAATGATCACTGGAAAGTGCTTCATGGTCTGTCTACGTATTGGACGTGGTAATATTTAGTAAGCATAATTATGGGCCTCAGAGTCTTGGGATAATGAAAACAGTGTTCCTATACTGACTCAAATATGGAACCCCTTTTTCTTGTAAAACCTGGGGATATCCTGGGGGGGGGGGAATACACTTTGAGAAATGGTAACTTAGAGGAATAAGTGAATGTATATTGCATAGATCATCTTCAAATATGAGCTGAGTAGCACTCAGCTAAAACTCAATTCTGATGAGAGCCCAGAGTAAAGGTATTCAGGGCTTTCAAATTGGAGGAAAATCATCAGCTTTATATATCGAATACATTTATGATAAGGATAATACCTTGTTTTGGAAACTTGAGAAAGAGAAAGCTTTGCCACCTCTTATGACAATGTTCCATAAAAGCACACACAAGCAGGGTTATATTTCCTTGTAGGGGCCTAGGGCAGGCTGCCCCACAATGGGCCACTTTGATGCAAAGATTTTTTTTAGTTAAAAGCAATCAAAACCCAGGAGATTCAGGAAAAGCTCTTTGCCTCCCCTAAGAGTGCCTGAATTTACATTGGAAAGGAGAGCTTTAACCGGAAGCAACTATTAATAGAAACTCCCCCTTACCTAAGGAACTTATCTACAAGATGGGGCAACCTTGTTTTTCTAAACATCTCCTTTCACCTTCTTGCTAATGACCTTCTTCCCCTCCATATCCTCAGACCCTGCTCCTCTCCTTAGCTCATATAACCTTCGTGTTGCCTCATTGTCTTTGGAATTTCATATCTATGCTGATTCCCTGTGCATACACCTATTAAATTTGATTTTCTTGTGTTAATCTGTCTCATGTCAATTTGCTTCTAAGTCTAGATAGAGGGACCATAGGGCAAAGGAAGGTCTTCCTACCCGACATCCTCAAAAGTCATGTTTGGATATATTCACATGGGCAGTTGTTTACCCTGAATTCAGCACATGCTTCATGTCAATCCAGAAATGTAGCAAGTATCAATGGGTAACAATTAATCTTGGCAGAACCTCTAAATGTACACCACTTCTCAATGTCTCTGATTGCAGATTGTACATTGCAGAATAGGATGGGGGTTCTGAGAACAACAGCCATGCATTTTTGTTAAGAAAAAGAGTCAGGTAGGGGCACCTGGGTGGCTCAGTCGGTTAAGCGGCCGACTTCGGCTCAGGTCATGATCTCATGGTCCATGAGTTCGAGCCCCGCGTCGGGCTCTGTGCTGACAGCTCAGAGCCTGGAGCCTGTTTCAGATTCTGTGTCTCCCTCTCTCTGACCCTCCCCCGTTCATGCTCTGTCTCAAAAATAAATAAATGTTAAAAAAAAATTAAAGAAAACAAAAAACAAAGAGTCAGGTATATTTTAGCTTTGATTTGGGATAGAAAGAATATGATATTCAGTATAAATATAGATATGTATTGTCCACTTAACCAAGAGGTTTCTTACATTTTTCATTGATACTCTTTTTAAAAAAAATTTTCAGAATAATCTTTCTACTTTGATTTATACTTCAACCTTGAGTGAAATCAGACATAAAACAGTAATATGCAACAAAGACTGTAAAATGAGCAAAGAATCAACTGTAGGTATATTTCTCTCACTAAAACTCTAACCCACTGTTGGACTTTCCAGGTTTGTAAACTACTAATACTGATTATTCATCAGCTTATTCTTGCCTGCAGGCAGATAACAACTACGTAACATTTGATTACTTTGATGACCTTTTTCATTCTTTTGCCATTGAGAGGATGAATTATTGTGAAGAAAATCTAATCTTTCACGTAAAGGTCAAAAATGCTTCATTCTGACTATAATTTATTTTCAACAAGGTGAAAGAGCTGTCTTTCATCATTGACACCATAACAAGTAGATTTTTTTTAACCTCTACCAACTCTTAACTGTAAACTGTGTTTTTGCCGTCTTGACTTAGTGTCTATAGTTCCATTTAAATGTTAAAACTTATTTCTAACTCAGGTGTGTTTGTGGCCATAAAGACTGATTAGTGTAACATTTTGCTTGAAAATGCACCTGTATAAAACATTATTGATAACATGCATCGCTTTCTTCAAATAACATCATTTTCTTGTCTTTCTTCCCCTTTTTTCTGCACCTTTGCCTGCTTTTTGCCCTTACAACTTCATGTTTCAGTCTCCTGTGAGTCCTGGCTTTGAGGTAGGTACTAATTCTACCTGGCAATAGGAATATGCTTCACCATCTTTTGTAAAACAACATTATACTAATAGGTTGACCTCAGACAATTATTGGTATTGACCCTATGAGAATAATCAGATCAGAATTTGGCTCAGAATCCAGCCTATTGAACTGCAGAAACCCCATTGGTCTTTCTATGAAACTGACAAGATGGGTTGAGAATAGAACAGAATACAGTCAGAACACACTTTACCCAGCAGCATGTTAACTGAAATGCATGCATATTGGAATTGTATCCTGAATACAGGGTACCACAAAACCATGCAAGTTGAGGCCACCATCCCAATATGTTTATACACAGTTTTAGTTGGCATGGTAAAACATAAAACAAGGACTGCCTGAAGATGAATGTACCTTTTTTAAAGAAAGGAGCTTTTAATCATTAATGTATTATCACAGTCTAATTAGTTTTTAAAAAGATGGTATGCAAGTGGGTATATCGAGGTCTCAGTCCATGAAGAAATTATATTTGGAAAATTCACAAATTTCCTTCTTAGAGATTTTAAGTAAACCCCTCTCCAAAATAGGCTTTTTATTTATCTTAAGCAATTGATAGCCTGAATATGGAGGAAAGGCATTTAAATTAAATGTTAAAGCTGAGTATATAATAGTGCTTTTATTGTGATAACTTGTTTTGATGTATTGTGTTTATTAATATTTAGTTTTCCTTATTTCTGTACTTATGGCAAATTGAGAGTTGAAATTGTTATTTTTCTTTATGAGACTATGTTTCAAATACCATTATTAGTGTCCATTCTTACATGGTCTTGTTAAGGTAACTATAACAAAAGAAGCTAATGAAAACACAACCAGAACATGTATGAGGTTAAATAAAATTAAGAAATCAAGTTATCTTGATCCTTAGGATATAAAATGAAGAAATTTACTTCAATAATAATAAATTTGTATGTTTGGAAAAATCATCCTAGGGCAAAACATTCCTTATATGTCTTTTTAAAATCTTCCTGGTATTATATTGCAATGATATATGATATTAATTTTCTTAATCTGTCCTACTGATTAGTTTGTTTTATTCTTTTTTTTTTTAATTTTAAACATTGCTGAAATAAGCCTCTTTGTGTTTTTTTGTTATACATTTATAAAAGTGTTAGTAGGTTTCTCGATCAGCATCTTTGAATGGATCTAGTAGATTATCTTCTTGGAAGCCAAATGGACTGAAAAATATATACAATATTTTGCCAAGTAGTTCTTCAAAAAGTTGTAAAAGTTTAAATTTATAACCCTGCTAACTACAGTGTATAAAAGTTTCTATTGCTTTATCTTCCCAACAATAGATTTGATTCCTATTTTAAACTTAAAAAAATTTTTTTTTTACTAACTTGATAGGTAAAAAATCTCTATGCCTAAATATTATTTACTTAATGGAGGATAAATAGTTTTTCATATATTTATTGGCCATTTGTATTTTACCTATGGTTAATTACCTGTCTCTTTTTCTACTGAGTTGCTTATTGGTTGCTTAGAATCTTTATATATGATTAATTCTCTTTCTATTAATCTATGATGGAAGTATACTTTCAGTTTTATGTGTTTTTGACATCTTTTCCCACAGTTATTTTAACAGTGAGAGACATATTTTCATTCATTTTCTTACTATATAGAGACTGTTGAGAATAAATCAATATGGCCAAATTCAACATAATATTTTTGTCAAATGATTGAAGAGAATATTTTTTTTCCTGAAGTAAAGGAGCTTAAGTCAAGGTAGAAAATGAAGGAGAATTTAAGACACTGGTGTTCTTTGCAACCAGAGGATATAATTGATATAGTGTTTTTAAAGTACGTTAGGTCTTATGGAATGTTTTTTTTTTTTATTTAAGAACCTTATTGAAATTTTAAAAATTATTTTTAAATGTATATAAGGAAGTATTTACTATTATAGCTTTAAAGTTAAGGGGCTCTTTAGAGAATTTATTTTTGCTGAAATTAAATGCTTCTAGTCTAGTGTTTTTGGTAACTCCTAATATTCAGACTGCTTTATAGAAATCATTAGGAAATAAATTGCTCATTCCAGAAGCTTTTCCTGTGTTTGTCTTGTATTCTCACTTTTTGCATCCTCTAGTTTTTATGAAAGTTAGACAATATTGATTTTAACTTGTTATTAATAATAATGGTGCATATTTTCTAAATAAGAATTTGACATAAACTGCTATTATTTTCATAAAGTTTACTGACTCACACTTAATTAAGACAAGCATTATATTAAAAGGAACTCTTGCCTGCATAGTTTCCTAGAAAATCTCCCCCAGAAATGACTCATTCAGTTACTGTTTTTGTTCATTAAAAAAAAAACAAAAAACAAAAAAAAAGGAAGACAAGAGAATACCAGTATTGCATTATCTATCTGTAACTGCATATGATTCTGATACACATTATAATAGCCAAGGTATATTATTTTCAAATGAGCAAATAATGAAAAAACTATTTCTAATCCTGAATGAAACTATGATGATATTTCTGGCCAAATGAATATTTCCCAGGATAGTTTCCAAAGTAGCAGAAGTCTATCAAGAAATAAGAGATTTTAATTGTTACTACTCTTGTGTTCTGGAGTTCCAGGAATTGTGGTGATTCATCTGAATTAAAAAGTCATTTTTCCATTTAAATATACACCACACCGTCACATCCATGCAGTACATTTGCCAGATATTGCAAGATTTCTTTTGATGATTGTGTAAACTATTTCTTCAGATTCAGCCCTGGGTAGTGTATATGTTCAATGAGGAAAGACATCCAAGAATTCTTCAAGCAGCACGTATGTCTGTACTTCCCGAAAGTTAGAAAAGTATGTGCAGGGGTGGGTTTGTCAGGAAGGAGGCCTTCAGTAAAATTAAGAGTGTGTGGTCTACTTGATGTGTTACTAATCAGCTGTTACCTGATTTCATTCAATGTGTCTGGCTTATTATATGTACATTATTAATTCATGCTCTGAACAAAAACTTCCAGATGTGTAACTCTAAATGTAAACACTGCATGAGAGTTCTTCATGAACTCCCCTGGAGGAGGGGGGCATTTACCAGTTGCCCACACTTATAAACATATAGGTCTTGGGAACTAATAGGTCTTTAAAGCAGGCTCTAAAGGACCTATGTTCCCCTCAGAAAAGGGACCATGGCTTTCCTAACACTCCCTACAAGCCATGCCTTAAAACAGAAAACACTGCTCTCTACCTTAAGATGCAAAACAGCCCCCCACCCCATGTTATCAATAACAGGCATTTGCTTAGTCTAATGTCATACCAGACCTGAACAAATTTCAGTCCCTTCTCATTTACTTCCTGACCAATCATGACTACTAGGTCCTAGTGAGCTCTTAGCTGAGTACTATGGGGAAAAGAAAAAGAAAAAAAAAAAAAAAGATTACTGTTCTCAGGAATGTTTCACCCCTCCCCCCCCCAAAAAAAAGAAAGAATTGAAGGCTTGTCTAGAACAAATAACAATGAGGTGTGAAGAAAGTGGAATATTGGAATTGGTATTTTAAATTAGACTTCCAGAAGCTTGAGAAATAATTCAGCTTCTAAAATATTTACCTGTGTTCTCAGAAATATTTAGCTACATGATTTTACTTGATTCATTAGGCATGGTTTTCTGATACCTGGTTCTGTTTGATCCAATGAATGCCTCTCTCCCTTCTCAAGAAGAATGGAAGTATTGCCATTTTAATCATTAATGCAAGATGAAACAATGTCCAGAAGTTATGAGCAAATATACATACTTCTTTCTCCAAATAGCCTAGTTTTTGGTGATTATTTCTCTGTAGCTGTACACTGAAAATATCACCAAGTGGTATAATTTTATTGAGGGAGTGCTTTCCTATATTTTTAAACTCAAAATTGATAAGGAAAAATCCTTGTCTTATTCTTCTCTCTTTTTTAACTGAGTTACATTAAAATCTAATCTTTGATTCTACCATGTTATTTCAGATGCACATACATAGACACACGGTGCTATGCATTTACCATTCATTGTTATAGGTTAAGATTCTATAAAATACCATAAAATTATCTTTGTGAGCCCTTAAGTTACACTTACTTTTGAAGGGAGAGGCTCTAACCTTTGTAGCCTTGGATTGTATTTATGGCGTGCTTTTCCAGCTTTTCCTTTGTGTCTTTAAGTCAGTAATCAATGGGACAGCCTCTTTCCAGATTATTTCATTCCATTCTCCTATGAGTTCATAGACCCAGACCAGGCTCTTGTCAATTTAGGCAAGGTCAGATACTATGGGAATATACGTTCCTAACATTACTATTCTTGTTTTTTCCACATAATCTGTTTACCTTCTGATTCACTTTCTATGTGTAGACCAACTCTGACATTTGAAGCCCCAAAGCAGAAGCTGTTGACACCCAAAAGTATTTTCTTCTTCAGTGGAAATGCTCCTTTTTTATTGTGTAGCTTTAGAGTGCAAGGCATTAAGGTCACATTGACTTCAAGTAAAAAGAGAGGTAATCTTATGTTATGTCTCCCCTTTCTTCCAAGATCCCATGGATTTGTAGGATTTTGGTAACTGACATTTTGAAAGAACAGCACATGTAATTTGCAACCATTCTTGAACAGTTCTGGTGCTTTCCCTGCAAAGAGTGGATCACTTAAAGCAAATAGTAAGGTTCCTTTACCCTTCATTTCTGTTTACCTAAAAAGAGTGATGCAATAAAAAAGTTAATATAACTTTAAGACTACTTTAGCACTCAGAAACTCCAGACCACCTTGTATTTTTAATAAGAGAGTATTTATGTTATTAGTGTGACAGCTTTCACAAATCGCAGCAAACATTAAGAAATGAATTCTCCGTTGTAAAATACAGCATTGGTCACCACTAAGCAAGGGCACACTTTTTTTCCTGCCCTATAGCAACTCTTTTCAAGGTTAAGAAAAGGTGTTGATTAGCTTTTATTTATGCTATACATATTTAGGGTATCCAAATGAGGGGCCAGACTCATT